ACAGGACTGCGGATAAACCACAGTGGAGTTCTGTTAGTTTATAATGAAAATACTCCACTTACGAGTAGAGTATTCCAGATCCTTGTTCTTTGTGAATAGACAGGTCTAACCTAATCAAAGCCTGCATGATGAGCATAGCCATGACAAGAGGAATCAGCTCAGAGGTTTCCAAACTGTGTTTTCATGAGCTGTCCTAGGCAGAGGGTATAAAACTTGTGAAGGTATAACTGTCCAGGCCTCTGTGCTGTCCAGGCCCCAGGGGCAGGGTCTGTGGCCTCTCCTCTTGGCTCTGGGGCTGATGAAGCCTCTGAGTTGGAAGAGGACGTATCTAAAGGTCTCCGCTGAATGTTACCTGTGGGGCTTCCACTTTGACGTTAAACCTTAGTCTGGAGTGGCGCTTCTGCTCTGGACCGGCCCCAGTGTTTCCTTTGCCTTTGTGGCTGAACAGCCTCCTCTCATGGCCACCACTTCCCTTCAGATGCGGTAAGACATCGCTCAGTGTCGCGGGGCTGGAGCCACTCTGGCTCCTCAAAGAGTGTGCCTGCCCCTGCTCTGACCTGTGTTGGTTTAATCCTTCTGTCTTTCATTGCCCAGTTCTTGGAGGTGCCTCACTGTCATTTTCTTTGATTTCCTAGTAGTTTTTCTTTTCAGCTGGGGCTGGTTTGGGAAAGGTAGTGTGGGTTTCCTAGAGGGGGCATTTTACCACTGACGAGAGAGAGGAAGCGGGGAACCTGCATTTTTTCTTGTTCTCAGTCAAGCGTGGTCTTTCTGTTGATATACTATGGTGCTCAGTTTTTGCCTCTGTCAGAAATTCACACTATTAATGTAATAATGTGGAACTCCTCTGATTTTTAGACAATTAACACTATTGTCTAAGATATCTATACTAATAAAAAAGCCTATGTCCAAAAAAAAGTACCTGTGGAGGACTCTAGTCAGGAGCGCTGAAGCCTTTGTTTTCCACTGCATCTTTGAAATAGGTCTTTGAAAGCTTTTCTTTGGCCTCCTCCTTCCCCCCGTCAGGGGACAAATCTCATCTGAGAACCACCCCTGGCTCAGAGCAGAGGGTCCTAGGGAATCTGTTCTAGGCTCCTTGGAGTCTCTGGAAAGGGAAGAGGGAGCCACAGAAGTGAGGCCCTGGAGAGCCAGGCAAGCTCTGTTGGGCTGGGTTGAATTGCAGCCTCGCTGGCACTCCTCGGAGACTAAGTGGTCCTGAGGCTCAGCTGTTGTATCTGCTCCACCCTCTGTGGCTCCTGGGGTAGAGCCATTAAATTTAGCAGGTCCGGATTAAGTGCACTGAGAGTCCATGGGCTCTGGGAGCTGTACTCAAGGGGCCTCTGCATCCTGACCAAGACCAGACATGTTCCTCTGTGACTCCTTGCACATGAACTGTCTTGAGGAAACCCGCTGCCATGTGCTTGCTTGAAACACTGTGTTAGTGTTCCTTCTCTCATCCGTCCCTTCTTCATTCTGATTCTTACCTCTCCTTTGGAGTTTAAAAATACATAGATCGCCATTGTCTCCAGAGAACGTAGAAACCAAATGGTGAGCCCTCTCTCAAAGCAAGAAAATATAAAATGGAAAATATGCATCTCCCTTTAAGGTGTTTGTACAGCGAATTACTTATTCTGAACTAAGTTATAAGTGTAGAATGCAGAGACCAGAGCCTGCCTGCTATCCGAGCAGGCTGAGGCAGACAAAGCTAAAAATTGATTCAACTTGAGGTCAAGTATGTCTTTTTAACATTCAGTGTGAAAGAGACGTGGACTTTCTTGCCCAGTTCATGTTTGAAGACGAAGACATCTGCGTTGTAACCTTTACCTGTTAGGCTTTAACAAATTGCTTGAGGTCATGGATCATGTTTTTGAAGAAATAATACTAGTTTATGAACTCTGTACCTATTATTTCCACTTAAGGTGTGAATGACGTCATAGTGTGTTCTTTCCCTTTTTATACCTTTATTTGTTCTCTGCAAAACTATAAAAAGCCAAAACTGCTTTGGGGGTTTTGAGATGGCTGCTGTAATTCATTCTCTCTCACTTTGTGAAACAGTTCATAAGACAAATTATAGAGATATTAAAGTGCTTCTGACAGTTTCAAAAATGTAAACGTAGATGGGGAGGGTATAGCTCAAGTGGTGAAGGACGTGCTTAGCATGCACGAGGTCCTGGGTTCAATCCCAGTATCTCCATTTGAAAAATCAAATAAATAAATAAATAAACCTAATTATCTACCCCCTGCAAAAAAAAAAGTAAACATAATACTGAGTATGTATGTCTCCACATCCTCTCTAGCCAGCTGTGAGCGTTTCCCCCTTGACCTGGCTGGCCTTCACCATGTGATGTTTCAAACCTGCATTAACGTTATAGACTTTAGCCTCTTCCACCTTCCCCCCCAGATGTCATTAAAGCTGTTAGCACCATTGACGTGCATGAGACTGAGGGGAGCCTCTGGTCCAAAGTGGCCATCTTCTCATCAGCGGCGCCCGGAGTCCTGCACGGTGTGAGGCTCAGCAGTCTGAAGGTGGTGGACCTGGAGTCACAGAAGACCACGTACACCTCAGGTACTGCAGCCATCGCCCTTGCCGGCTGCCCTGCCAACACCCGCCTGCCAGCCCTACTCAGCCACGCTGGAAACAGAATTCATCCCTGTGTGCCAGCTGCTGGGGGACCAGGATGAATGAGAGGCAAGGCCTGGCCTCAGGAGGCTCCTGTTCTGGACTGGGGGTGACGGGGGGCCTTCCTGGGACCAGCACCCAGCCCGCTGAGTGGACTGTGGCGAGACGAGTGGTCCAGTCTGCCTGGGGCTGGTGGGAAGCTTCCCAGAGGAGGGGCTTGTGACCAGCAGGCCCCACCAAGCTGCCAGACCCATCTGACTGCAGCAGCTTTTCTCTTTCGCCCTGTTTTCCAGGTGTCGGTGACAGCGAGTTGCTGAGTAGCCTGCAGGTCCTGGACGCAGACACCTTTGCCTTCTGCTGCACCTCGGGCCGCCTAGGGCTCGTCGACACCCGCCAGAAGTGGGCACCGGCAGAGTATCTCGGCCCCAGCCCTGGGTCCGCTGGAGGGAGGTGGTGTGCAGAAGCTGGGGGCCGGGGCCCTGGGCCCAGCATTGCCAGCCTTGGCTCAGATGGGCAGCTCTGCCTTCTGGACCCCCGGGATCTCTGCCATCCTGTGAGCTCAGTCCAGTGCCCAGTGTCCACGCCTAGCCCAGACCCAGAGCTGCTGCAAGTGACTTGGGCTCCAGGCCTGGACCACTGCTTGGCCATTTCAGGTACTGCTGAGCAGGACTTTGTCATTTGATCTCTCTTTCAGGGGACTCCAGGGTGCTCAGGAAGGAGCCTGTAGCCCCGTAATCAGTCTGGCTCCAGCAGTTAAAGTTGCTCACAGAAAAGCTCCAGGTGAACTCTCCAGGGTCTTCAGTGGCGGCCCTTCCCCCTCCTGGCTACCAAACTTCCACACATTGGCAGCAGGCCTTTTCCTGTCCTGGCAGGGATTCAGTTCTGAGGCTGGCCGAAAGGCCTGCAGATAGTTGGACACTAGGACGCCATGGGCTGGGCCAGAGCGGGGTGATGGGGTGCTTCTTAGTCTGCTCACGTTTTGAATCTAGCAAGCCAGCCCTCCTGCTCGGGCCTGGCAGTGTCTAGGTGAATGAGGGTATTTAATGAGAGTGTCTAAAAGCTAATGGGAAGGATCTGAGAAGGGGAGAGGTTGAAAGAAGAGGAGAGAGGGCAGCGACGGATCACTGGTGATGGCCGGATTCAGAAGGAGTGGAAGAGGAGAACCAGTGGGTATTCCCTTTAAAGGCTTCTGTTTCCCCATCAAGTAGGAGACACGACCATCTGCTGAGGGGGACTCAGGTGTGGAAGAATTCGAATTTGGGGCAAGTGGAAAAGGTTTGAAAAATCTCTTCGGTTTCCTGGCGAAAATAACAGTACCTACTTCATACAGTTGTGAGCATTAAAGGAGAGAATGCAGGGTCAGCTCGGGCCTGGCACATACAGGCGGACAACAGCTGCTCGTCGCTGTGTGCTCCGTGGGGGCATCAGCTGCTGACATTGAGAGCAGATGTTACGGGCCCTTCAGCTGACCTTTAAGTGTCTTGTTACTGTTTGAGTGCTCGTCCTGTAGCCTGTTTGGGTACCAGAGAGCAAATGATAAGAATTATTTCAGAGATTGTATCAGTGCTCTCTTTTGTTTTTGTTCTTCCTCAGGTTTTGATGGGATGGTCCAGGTCTATGACGTCACATCTTGGGATGGAATGCAGGGCCGAGTAGATCCTCTCTTCACTCACAGAGGTCATATCTTCCTCGATGACAATGGAGCAGACACTGCTCCACTGGTCACCACCCATACCTGGCACCCGGACAAACCAAGGACCCTGTTATCGGCAGCGAGTGATGCCTCTCTGCACGTGTGGGACTGGGTAGACCTCCGTGCTTCCTGATGACACCAGCATCTTTCAGCCCAGGCCTGAGGAAGAGGAAGGGCTGCTGTACAGCAAGGATGCTGATTTAGGATTCAGCTGACTACCGGGCCCTGTTACCAGCTGAGTGGCCATGGGCAAGTCAACCAGCCTCTCTGCCCCAGTTTCTTTATTTGTAAAATGAGGGTGGTAATAACTGCCTCGCAGGGTGTTAGGAAAGCTGGAAGTAATGTATTAAAGGGTAACTGATGGGCTACGAGGCACAGTCAGTATTTGGTAGCTGCTGTTACGTCTGGGAGCCACACTTCCCCCTCGGTGTCAGACGGCAGTGTCTGACTCTGTCCGCGTTCACAGTGTCACAGTGACACTCTAGAGAGATGTCGAATGTAAACAGGTTTTGTGAACATTTTTACAGAATGAAAAATGTATAAGGGCAAATAAACATGAAAAAGAAGTTAATCCCAGTAGCAGTGAAGGAAATAGCAATTAAAACAAGATGATACCATTTCTGCCTACTAAATTGCCAAATTTCAATACACTTGCTTTGAGCAGCTGAGAGAGGTTACATGGCACGCAGTTCAGAGCAGCTTGGCTCTTCATCCCAGCTGCATGCTGTACCAGTGTTCAGCTGAACCGTGGTTACATGTCCAGGTTCCTGTCAAATGGCAATTAGAATATTCTAATTTTCTGCAGTCACAAGTAGTGTGAGCAGATTTATATCCATGAACAATATGTCTGTAGGATACATTTCTAAAACTAAGATTGCTAAGGCAGAAGCTGTGCGTGGTTTTAGGCTTTATAAGTACTGTCCAAGTGCCTCCGTAGAGATCGTGCCCCTTTGTGATAGCGACAGTGATGGCGGGCCTGTTTCTCTCCTCTCTCCAGCAGTCTCCTTAGTGGCTTTTTGCCCTTTGCCGGTCTGATAAATGAAAAATCATTATTTGTACCTTTTAGTCTGCATTTCTTTTATGTGAGAAGTTGAGACTCTTCCTTTATTTAAAAGTTTGGGAGCAACTATGTTTCAAGGTGATAACAGTTGGGGTGGGGAGCCAGGCATTCTCAGTACCACCTGAGGCCCTGGGAGTTCAGGCAGAGACTGGCCGCCCTCCTCTCGGGTGGGTCTCAAGATATAGTTAATTTTGAAAATATATATGCATTGATTCAGATGAACTTTTTTTAGTAGGAAATCCTGAATTATCCAAAAAGAAAGAAAAACTGTTCAAGGAGTAACACCAGAAAGGATATTGGGGGTGGGACAATTACGTAAATACATTTTTTTCAAATTTTTAAAGAACAGAAAATTCCTATGCTGTAGAGACTATTTCATATTTAAAAATCTAGAAAATCATTTTATGAAGGTACTATAATTAAAATACCAAAACTTGGCCAAGAAACTGTGTGCTCACTCACTCACACAGTCTCTCAGGCTTGGGTATTCATACTAGACCGTGGCCCTCAAGACTATCAGCCCAGCATTCCTTTTATAACCAATATTTTGAACACCCCCTTTACTAACCGGAAATAGAATTTCACAGGAAACATTCACTATTTGCAAACCTAATATCAAAATCACTATAAAATACAAGGAAATAAAATACAAAAGTTTATGCATTTCAGTATATTATGTTCATTCTTTTGCATAACGAGGTAATCAGATGCTTGC